ACCTAATTATGTCAGTATATGCAAGAGTGCTGTGAGCCCCTCACACTGCTATCCAGTTATCAATTAAAAAAAAAAAAAATCTTTAAAATGTTGACTGTCTGAAATGCACAGCTGCTACCGCGTAGTCACAGGAAAAGGGTTACTTTCAATCTCTACCCAGTGAAAATGCTTAGGCTTCTGAAAATGAGAAGTGGGTAGTAATCCTGTTGACTCACATCACTGCATCTCTCACCAGCTGGTACTCGTTCCAGGTTTCAGCAACTTTTGCGGCAAGTTTAGTTACCAGCCCTGCTATTGGTGCCTACCTTGGCCGAGTCTACGGAGACAGCCTGGTTGTGGTCCTGGCTACAGCGATCGCCTTGTTAGACATCTGTTTTATTCTTGTGGCTGTACCAGAATCGCTGCCGGAGAAGATGAGGCCGGCATCCTGGGGAGCACCCATCTCGTGGGAACAGGCTGACCCTTTTGCAGTAAGCTCTTTAAATACGAAGTATTTTGTTCTTTGTAAATGTTGGGCGTTTGAAACGGGGAAGGGCCTGGATTTATTATGTTTCAAGCTTGAAAAAGCCTGTATTTCTTCAAGTTTAACCTTGCGTTGCTGCTAATATTTTGCAGCTAAACACGCAGGGAGTGTTTTGGTGGTGCCGCAGAATAGCCTCGTTAATTGATGTGCTTTTCGATTCTTGCTAGGTGTTCTTTTTGAATATGAAGATTAAATGTTTTCTAATACTTTTTTCTTGCCATAGTCACTGAAGAAAGTCGGCCAGGACTCAATTGTGCTGCTAATCTGCATTACAGTCTTTCTTTCCTACCTCCCAGAGGCAGGTCAATATTCCAGCTTCTTCCTATACCTCAGACAGGTAACTTAACGGCTTCATACGGATTTGAACAGAAGTAAATTACAGGAAAGTTTTCAGTATTGCTGGAGTCACATGGAAAGTACAGATAACAAGTATAATTTAAAAGCTTCCAGCAGCTGATTTAAGTGCTCTTGCTCTGGTTTTTTTTCTTTAGAGAATCAAAAAGGAAAAAGATGAATGAGTTACAAAAACTTACTGTATTCTGTAATTATTTGCATTATTCCTGGACTACAAGATTTACTACGTTAGACTTTTTTTATTTGTTGAGGGAACCATTTACTTGTTTTCTATTTATGCCCCTTTGTATGCTTGCTTGATGAAAAAAAACCAAAAACTTCTTTCCTAAGCTAGGGAGCAGTTGAACAACAGAGCTTTGGCACTGTGTGTTTCTCCAGATGATGGTGAAGACACAATACATGGTTTATGGTTACTAATCAAACTGCCTTTTTTTTAATCTAGATAATGGGATTTTCATCTGAAAGTGTTGCAGCCTTTATAGCAGTCCTTGGGATTCTTTCCATTATTGCACAGGTGAGTCACTGCTGTGCCTTTCAGTCATCAGTAACTTGGAAATAGCCGAGTGCTGGAGAGAACCTCCCCAAGCCTGTGGCTCCAGAAATGCATCTCCCCTTTCTGCAGCTGTTTTTCTCAGTCTCTTAACAGCTGATTAAGACTCTAATTTAGATGAAAAAACAGCTTGTCAGCCAGGGTTCGGTTCAGAAACATCCAAAGTGTGTTCTGCTGGGGAAACTAAAGCCTTTATGCATCCAAGAAGGGGTGACAATTTGTTTATATTGCTTGCTAAATTTGTTGCTTTTGAAATGTATTACCTGCATGTATTTAACATTTAAACTAAAATGTTATTTTTGTCACTCTTTTCCCCTCTGTCAGACAATAGTTTTGAGCTTACTTATGCGGTCCATTGGAAATAAAAACACCATCCTGCTGGGCCTAGGATTTCAAATACTACAGCTTGCGTGGTATGGCTTTGGATCAGAACCATGGTATGCACCTTTCATTGTAGTAACGGACTGACAGGGTGTTGTTCTGCATTTTATCCTGCGTTGACACCGAAGCGTGTGGATGTGTCTGCACGCTCCAAGCGCAGAACGCTGCCCGTGCGGGGCCGTTACCTGTGTCTGTGTTGTTTTGCAGGATGATGTGGGCAGCCGGAGCTGTTGCAGCCATGTCCAGCATTACCTTCCCGGCTGTAAGCGCCCTGGTTTCACGAACAGCTGACGCTGATCAACAGGGTGGGTTTTGTCCAGATACTTTGCATTCGCGTCAGCGCACCCTGTGCGGGCGGCCAGGCCAAGCAGCCTGCGCAGCGGCACAGCGCGGCCCTTGCACCTGAGTACAGGTCACAGAACATTAAAGTCCAAGGTCCTTGGAAGCTGTCAGGCACGTGAAGGGCATCCTTCTGGCACAGAGGGAAAGCCTGCAGCTGGGCCCTGCTCTACCGAAGTATTTAGCAAACTTAATATGCTGTTCATTTGCCTCACTTGCATCAAAAGTTTGCTTAGTTGTCCAGGTTGCACCCAGTGCTGTCTCTCCTGGGGGACAGTGATACAGATCGCTCTTGGAGTGAGCACAGCACAGGAAGTACTCCGTGCCTATAGGGAGATGGAAAAAAACCTTGAATATTCTAGAATAGCATTTCTTCTGCACCCCTTGTTTATTGCTGCCCCTAGTGCAACACCATTTATCAAAGCTTTCCTGCTTGCAGCACTTTGAAGGTGAATGAAGTCTTACTGATCCATTGAAAATAGATAATTTTACACACACACACACATACAAACTAACAGTGTGTTTTCCTTTTCCCAGGTGTTGTTCAAGGCATGATAACAGGAATTCGGGGACTCTGTAATGGTTTGGGACCAGCACTTTACGGCTTTATATTCTATATATTTCATGTTGAACTGAATGAACTCCCCATGCCCGAGTCGCCCTCAGGAGGTAGTATGGTCACACAATACCACCTACAACAGGTATGCTTCTCTTACTTATGGATTCCAACAAAAGAAATTAGGAAGGGAGCAGGTGCACACCTGTGCTTGAGTACAGTGCTCTGTTCCATGTGCCACTGGCAGTGAAGCATGTAAAAAGGTTCTGATCACACTCTTGGGGAGGGGGGTTGATCTGTTTGTTTGTTTAGTATTAAGAAGCATATGCTCCTGCTCTTAAATTTTAGGATGTACCCTTCTTTCCACCCAGGGAGAAATGCTGCATTGGCTTGCGTAGCAAGAAAAAGTTCTTCCTGCTCTTGAAATGTGTGTAATTAGCAGTTGTGGTGTGTTAACAGGTGACTGGAGGCTCATTAATGCTTTGTGGTGTTACTGTTCTTGCTTTCAGAATTCTATCATTCCCGGACCCCCCTTCTTATTCGGAGCGTGCTCTGTGCTGTTGGCACTACTTGTTGCCTTGTTTATTCCTGAACACACAAACCTAAATGTACGATCCAGCAGCTGGAAGAAGCACTGTGGCAGCCACGGCCACCCCCACAGTCCACAAGCTCCTGGTGAAGCTAAAGAACCCTTACTGCAGGATACAAACGTATGACAAAAAGCCAGGAGGACCTTTTAGACTTTTTTTTTTTTCCATCAGCAGTTTGGGATACACATTCCAATTCCATTGAAAATGTCATTTCTTAAGGTAATCTTAAGAAGTACCTTTCTGCATGAAACCCATAGGAATAAAAAAAAAAAGGAAGTTTCTCCAAAGATGTTGCCATTGAATTAATAATTTGCTTTTAAAAAACAAACTGTTACGTATTTGCCTCTTGCCATGAAACGCTGTTACTACTAAACTTTACCTTCTAGTTCAGAAACAAAAAAAAGAATAGAGTCAAGGCATGAGCATGTGTCCTTCTGTTTCCTTAAGGTGGTAAAAGCTTTAATTCTAGTCATGCTGAGTCTCAGTGAGACATACTGGCATCCCTGGGGGCCCATTCATTTTAACGTTGTAAAATCTTGGGTCAGATGAATCAAAGCCTTAATGTAAATGTACTCAAGTAGGGAGAAGGTGAATTGGTATCACTTATTTTAAAAGTCATTTATGGCAGGTTTTTTTTAAGTTTGTACTAATATAAAAATCACATGAGCACGCTTGCTGAACAGTAAAAGTTATTTTTATGTAAGTGCATTTACTCTTTCTATTTTTAAATAAACGGTAGTATCAAACACACTTGTTTAAATAATAAGTGGGTGTTTGGAGCCTACAGATTTTAATACTGGCTCTAAAACTCTGCTTTCCTAAGTACCGTTTATTATACCACTATATTTCTGATGTTTGCATAATCATAAAGGACCTCAAAACTTGAATACACAGACTGAAATATAAGCTGATAGCCTTGAATCTGTCCGTGTGCTATATAGTGGCCTTTGAGGACTGTCACAATAACCCTTTTGCAGTACAGAGCTAATGTTTTAGTCCTAAATTTTCAGGACCCTTAGTACAGAAGAGAGCTTTATACAATTACTGATGTGAATTTCTCTAAAAGTGTATATTTTTGTGTCCAGTTGTATTATTTAAGTGTTCCTTTGTATAAATTGGTGTATAAAGTATTGTATAGGTTTAAAATGTTTTCATCTTGTGGTTATTGCTTAATGCTTTTTTACCTTGGAACATTCACCATGGTTGACCAAGAGCAGGAAAAAAAAATGTAAATATACTGTTAATAAAGTTGAATATTTTAATGAATTTCTAAATAATTGTTGAAGTTCTCCAGTGTATGTGGGGTACAGGTTCTAGGTCAGGTGAGGCTGCTGCGAGCAAGGTGCTGCCAGGGCCAGCCTTTGCTCTGCTGCCCCTATTTTAGCTGGGACTGGGATGCTCTGATAGCAGCATCTACCTACTGCAAGAGAAACAGACCCCATTCACATAAATTTACACCTGCTGAAACTGCATTAGAGAGAGTTGTCTAGCACAGCCCTTCAGGAGGAGGGGGCTGCCAGCGGGCAGGGGGGGCAGCGGTGCTGGTCCAGTAGTGCCACCCGGCCTGCCGAAAGGAGTGAGCTGGGAAGAAAACTCTTAAAAAGGTAAGGTGAATAAAATAATACTGTTTTTTGCACTTACCTCATCTTGGAATCTCAGTCGAGTGGAGAGGGTGGGTTAGTACTCTTACAACATTACTAACCAGAGTTTTTGATAAAAACCATTTAATATTTTCATTGAAACTTACAAACGCCCAAACACGTGAATTTACATTCCCATGGCACTGATTTATAAACAAATATACACATTTTGTACTGCAAAACAAACCACTTAAATAACCACGGTAAAAGGTACAAAATATCCTTAACAATTAAAGTATGTAAATAGTAATTTTACAAGTGTATTTTACATGTTACAAATACTTCACCTGCTAAAAGATGGCCTGGAATGAACCTGTTATGCAATTCTAGCATTTGAACCCAGGTTGTAGAACAAGCTGAATTGACTCCATCAACCCTAAACTTGGAGTATCTTAAATTTCTGTACACTTGCACAGTTGTAAAGGAGGATTTAGTAAAAATAAAGTAGCTTTTGGATGTTGGGATACTGTCAATTACCTGTTCAGATACATCACCTTACGTTTTGTGCATGGTGACCTGTGGAAAATAATACTGGCAGATTCACAGATAAGTTAGGGGAACCAAGAGTGAGAATTTTTTAAAAACTTTTAATTTTATACCTTCAGTGAAATAATTTTATATCTTTATTTAGATTATCTGTAAGTCTATGTGCAATTCAAGTAACCTGGTTCCAAAATTAAGCGAGTCTTTAAAATTAAAACTGTCTGTGAAGATCAGTCAGGCAGCCATGCCAACTTACAAGCTTGACTCCCTAAAACTGAGCATCACCCGGTTCCCCTGTGCTTTCTATCTGCACCATCCTTTATCTGCAAGGAGTCAAGAAAAGTATTCCTAGCAAAACCTTCTCTCAGGGAATGCCAGAGCATATGTGTCATCTGTTAGAGCCACGCTTACCAGTTCCTACAATAAAAAAGTCAGTGCGCTTTGGTGGGTTTTTAGGAAGACAACGGGCTCTCCAATACACCAAGAGAAAATTCTGCGCAGCCCCAGTGGCTTAACTACAGTGCTGCTCCCACCAAGGCCGCTTAAAGCTCCCTCTTTTCTGACTGGGCTCAAGTACCATGAAAATACATCCAAGTCAGCCAAGATAGCTTTCTCAAACAAAACAGATTCAGACTTACAAAACTGTATCAATTCACGTTGATACTTTACTCATTAATACAGGACATCCCAAAATCCCCCGAATGGTTGAAAGAGGACTCTTACTTTAAGAATCCTGCCTACTGTCCAGGAAAATAAGCTGAGGCTGGTGTTACTGCAGCTTTGGGTGGCAGCTGGGCTGCTGTTGCTAAGTAGGGTTTCAGGTACTCTGTAGAACAGCAGAAACAAGATACTGTTCATAGAACCATAAGTAGTATTGCCTTTTAAGTACATTTCAAATAAGGTCTTGTGTTACTGTTTCCACACATACCTGAGTTAAGTGTATTTTGACTAAGCCCTCGTAAAGGAATGCTGTCATCTTTCTTCTTGAAATACTTTGATTCCAGGCCCAAATTATCACCACTAGAAATAAAAAGACTAATTATAACAAGAGTAGTTAGCTAGCAGTGCATTAACAACAAGTATAGATACAGACTCGTTCAGAAAAGTATTAACTTCAAGTACAACTACTGCTTTCCTATGAACTTTGTGATTTAAAGGTAAACTGTCACTGAGTAGTTTCAAAACCTAGTTCTAGACTGTTCGTGACTGACCCATCACCTGACAGCCTTGGAGCTGTCACCAGGAGGGACAATGCGCTTTTGGACCTGAAAGCAGGGCTCGTCCTTTGTTATCTCCAAACCACGCTGAGTGATCAGTTAAGTCTGCCCCAACTTAACATTCATGAACAGACTGATGCAGAAAGGCAGACCTCAGAACTGGCCTGGAACTGGCGAAGTTTTGCTCAGTTCCAGGCACACATAGAAGACAAATGACTTTATAAAAATAGCAATTTTAAAATAAACCCAACACACTAAAAATGCAACAGATGACACTTACTTCTCTTTATTTGCTGGATGACTAGTTGCAGTCACTGTCTGAACATCAGAACATCGATTCATTTTAGACAGCTGCATGTTAAACTGAATCTGCAGAAACGTAAGAGTTGGGGGTTAGAGCTGCTCCAGCAGCCGGTGTATTCAGAGTGAACAGTTCAGGGATTAATGTTTCTGTACCTTGCACAGCACTTCTGTGCACCAAAGATCTCAAGAATAAGCAAACTAAAACCAAGAATTGGCTATTACTAGTAGTGATGATGTTCATGAGAGGGAGTTTAAGAGTACTAGGATGTACAGTAACTATTTATGCACTTCGGGAAATATTCAAAACATCACGCTTTGCTAGTTTACGTTATCATATTCTTAACCAAACAGAAAAATCAAAGTGCCTGCCTTTGGTACTGGACACTGCGAATTGACGTTTTTGTTGTGTGCTGGTTCTGGCAAGTTCTGGAAGGCATACAGAGGGGAAATGGGATGGCTGATTCCTGAGCTGGGAAACGATGGTCGGTCAGGCTGTAAGAGAAATAGAATATGTCCATAAAGGAGAAAATCAATTCTTGAAGTGATTGTTTGTAGAGATTCAAAATTCCAAGACTAACAAGTAAGCACAATTACAAAGCCAACGCTCATTTCAGTCTTCCTGATGGGGAGAAAACATTGCTTTTCCAAGATTCACATTCTTAGGGAAAACTTGTAACTTTTTAAGAGTTAGTTAGGCAAGTTGAGCACTCTCAGCTTATAGGCTGGTAAGCAGCTACACACCCCGTAACTGATTCTTAAATGTATCTAGCTATAAACCAGAGACCTCTTTGCATGACCATGCCCTTCCATTGCTGAGTAAGCAGCTCATTAATTGCAAGGTGACAACAGGCACCTGTACACACAGGGACAACAACGAGTAAGAACCAATAAGCCATGGTATTCAACAAGGGTGGTAGGTAATGTTTCTTATCCCTTAATTCCTTATTTTCATGTTTCTAAATAACACTAATAAGATTATTCAAATAGTACACTTTTTCAACCTATACAAAGGTAATTAGTAGGTAAATTAACCTCACAACATAAAAATGCCTTCTCTTTTTTTGCCCTTTACCCTGCACTTCATCTTTGCCAAGCTCATTTTGCATCGTATTCTGTCTTTTAGTGACTGAGAACTTAGAAAATTCTCACTTAGGAGGCCAGGGCATCAGGTAGCACCCAACAAGGTATTATGTTATTAAAAATTTTAATGAAGCAAACAAAAAATACCCACCCACCCCAAACTATAGGGCCCACAGAAGATCAAGGCACTCCCCCCTGCCCCCCTCTCTTTTTAAGGCCATACATTTCAGGAAATGATGACTACATGGTAACCATGTTATTTGTAGTCGTATCTTACCATGCCATGAGGGGAAAGGGCAGTCCGAACGCCACCCTGCGTACCGGCCGAAGTCTCTAGCTTCTTTGCCATCTGAATTTCATTCAGCTGTTTGTTTAACCATGTGATTACTGGAGAGAGTAAAAAAAAAAAGGTCGAGCTCACTTCCTACCTCTTACAAGCTGTTTAAAATAGCAGTAGCCCTTCTTCAAAGAAAAGGGACAGCCTGGGGGGCTATTTTTCTTCCTTGATGTCTTGAGGAAGTCTCATGAACGTCTCTCCTAGTCTTACGAAAGCCTTTTTGTTCAGCCTTCCTCTGCCCCTACGTGCCATTCTGTTCCTTCCTCTAGGTAGCCTCCCACACCCACACTACCCCAAGCAACCTCAAGCACCAACTGCAAAGGAAGTCTTCTCTACTTGCAGCTCTAGGTTGTTGCATACCCACTACAGACAGAAGCTTATTTCCCAACGACAATAACAACAGCTCTTTACAAAAAAAGAACACAGGTAAAGCACTATCATTGCTTCCATTAGTTTTCAGCAGCACCTAAATCACTGTCATTTTTACAGAGGGAGAAATTAAACTGTATAAACCTACCATTTTCATTGGTTTTCAGTAACTGCTTACTTTCTTCTAGTTTTTGCATTGTAGTTTCAAGCTGTTCTTGTAGCTTGCAAACCTGCAATAGTCCCCATAATAATAATACCACCACCATTGGGAGCTACTACTAATTACAATCTGAAGAAAAAAATAAGTCAAAAGGATCGATGAAGTTACTCTAAAATTATTTAGTTAAGTCTGAACTCAGTTGTTTACAAAAGCAGTATGATAATTCTTCTAAAGTAAGCCCTACTTTCAGCTGGGCTTTCAACAAGATAACAGCCAGAAACCTTTCTGACCTGAATTTTCCTGTGATTAAATCATGTAAGGATTCTTAAGCAGGGAAATACACTTAATGGATGAAAAAGCTCACTCCGTTCCTGTTCTTGCCTCCTTCACTGACTTTCATATGAATAAGCCCCCTAAAGCATGTTGATTCATCCATTATATTGCTTTGTGCTCTTAATACAATTTTAGTTTTCTTCCATATGGATGGATGGCCCTTACACCAGTTTACATGAAAAAAATAAAGAGTTGATGACACGTTTATTTAAACGTGTTAACTAAGCAAAGGAGTACATTCTATTCCACAGAAAGATTTAAGACCTTAATTACTGTAAATAAGACAAAAAACATAAAACCCAACACACTACAGAAAATAGCATTTACCGGACAGAGGGTTAACTTATCACAATACCTCCTGCTCTTTCATTCGAAGAGATTGTCCCATCTCCTGCAATTCCCTCTGTTCTTTTTGAAGTCTCTCTTCTTTTTCTGCCAACAGTTTTTCCTGTTGAATTGTTACTGTATTTTTCAACTTTAGTTTACTCATTAGAGTTTTCAAATCTCCTTGTAACTTCTTGATAATTTCATTAGCCTATTAAGAACAATAAATCCGGTATTGTCAAAATAAACAAAACCTAAAAATAAGGAAGACATTTCATAAGGATAATGGCATGTTTAAACAAACCTTAAGAAGTTCAGCTGACAGTGACTTAATTGTTGTCTCCAGTTTTTCAATATGACTTTGTTTTTTCTCTGTACTCTCTTCCAGTATGGCCTTTAAAGGAATATTACAAATATCATAATAAAGATACATGATAGACATCACTTATGACTTCAAGTAGAACCTCAATAATTCTTTGTGAACTAATCTTCACAAGAAATTCAGTCCTTGCTTTTCAGTCAAATTACAGTATTTCATTGAATCCATTTGTTGACAAGAAGTACCACTGACTCTAGTGTCACAGTATTAAAGCAGTAGCGACCTTTGTAAAACTGAACCCAGCATACTTTTGATGCCATAGTTTAGAATGTTTAACTACATTTGAAAGCTTACTTGCTGTCTTCAGAAAAACTGCTCAGCTGCTAATCTATAGAGACTGCAATTAAGAAGGTTCTACAGAGCTTTAGAGACAATTATTTTGAAACTTGAGGGAACCTTTTGTTCTTGTGTCGCATCTAATACTTCTTTTGTTCTAATAACTAGCTGATCTTTATCTTTGATCTCCTGCTCCAGAACAGCAACCCGTGTCTGCAGTTGATTAATGAGTTTCTCTTTTTCATGACATTCAGCATCCAGAGTAGTGTTCTCCCGACGCAGTGACAGCACCTCCTGCTTTGCTCTTTGACATTCCTAGAATGTTGGGAAGGAATTTTATTTTATTTAAGAAAAACTGTTAACAGTAATTTAAACTGATATATCTAAATAGTAAGCATAATGTGGAATGAAGAGGAGCTGAACAAGCTTAATATGCTATATTTTCTATTATGTGCACAAGCAGACAGTGTTAATGCTCGAAAAATAGCAAGCGTTGTTATGGAAAATAATAAGCCATACATCTTCTATTCCAGAAAGCTTTGCTTTCAGTTCTCTGACTGTGGAGTCTCCTTTGTATTTCCTTTCCGTCAGATCTTTATTGATGACCTCAAGTTCTGACAGTCTGTTCTGCAACTGTTGAATACTTTTCTGATGCGAATTTTCTAATTCCCTTTTCTGTTGTTCATGCTGTTGTTGGTACTGAGCTTGGGCCTATGACAAGCAAAGAAACTAAGTAGTTATTCAATGAATCTTAAAATTAAGCCAAGAAACTGTTCACATATAAAAATATTGCTAATTTTTTTCTGTTTTCATACCTGGAGAGATCTTTCCTTTTCATTTGTCAGCTCCTGTGTGTGTTTGTTATTTAGAGCTGTCGTGTATGATGTCCATTCATTTTTTAGTTTGTCCAGTTCTCGGCTCTTCTCTGACAAACTCTGTTTAAGTTTAACAAAGCACATAGTTTTAAAAATGTATGCATTTCAGTCAATACTGAATGATTCTCTATTGTTACTTCTTAAAAAGAACATAGAATTGTTAAGAAAAATAAATTTCAGCACCAGATGTCAAAATATATGTTCATTCTGTAAACAGGAAAGTAAGGCACAGAGAAGCTAGAGAGCACCTTTCTGACACTGGATCAAATCATCTTCATTTCCAATTGTATTTTCCTCCAACCACTCTTTAAGAGTGAAAAAACAGCCTGATTATGTTCCCTACCCTTGTAACACAAAGTGCTCTAGTGCGGGGGGGGGGGAAATACAAAGTTCGTCAGCAAAGTTTCCTCTTTTGGATTTGTAATTCTGCATTCCAATTCAGCAAACATATTCCAGTAACTCCAGATAAAACTGCAAAGATGAGGTAAACAAGTATTTTGTTCCAAAAAAGCTCCATAACAGGAGTTTTAGTGGAACTTTTCTGTTTCACAAGTCAAAAAAGTCACCCTGATAATTCTAGAATTTGACGCAATTAATCCACCTGAAAAACAAATGCAAAGGCATTGTGATTTTTGTAGTCAGCCCAATAAAGTACTAGAGTAAGATGAAGTCCAAGACTTCTGCTTTATCATGGTTTCACAATTTTTCCAAATATAAGGATTTCCAACCATTTGCGGACTATGTAGAGTATATTATTTATCTTCACACTACCACCTATTTACTACATAATTCGTATGTGCATATACAGACCTCTGTACAAAACAAAGTAAAATTCTGATTTAGTACTGTAAGAACTAAATTTTATTCTTCAGTTGCATGCTTTACTCATTCTTAAGAAAAACTACCCTAGACTACTTTTCTTCTTTTCACTCACTCTCAAGTCAGTTATCTTGCCTAGGCAGTGGCCAAACAACCAGCCCACAAGAAGATACATTTTCCACAGATTAAAAAAAGTACAATTTAAAACCAGGAAGTTAAAAATTTACATTACTTGTTGACTGTAGCTCAGTTGTCTGGTAAGATCCTCTTCAGTTTTCTTAAGCTTTTCTTCCAACATCATTTTGTCGTCCTATGAGCAAATTGACATCAGGTGAAATCCTTAACCCCCAAAATACAAGTAGTATTTAGCTTACATTTTATCAGCATACCCTGCCTAAGCAACCACATACCCGTTATATATGTGGAAAAATCATCTTACTAAATAAACTTCATATTGAGTAAGATATAATAAATAAAAGAAAAGGCATTATCTCACAAAGTAAAAACCCTGACTTAAATTCTTATGAAGTTTCTATCAGGAAACAGTATCTTATCATAAAAACTTCTTTACAAAGGAGTTGCATTAACAATAAATCAACTGAAATACCGTAAATTTATGTTATTAAAATGGCTTATTAGCTGGCTATAAACATGACAGCACAATAGGAGACACAAATCCCAGGCTATGAAACTAAACCAGACAACAGTCAAACTATGAGACTGTTAATTTCTCATTAAATAAAACCTTGCATGCTACCAACTGTGTCAACATTACAGTTTTAATTTGCTATTGATAGCTACTAGTCCTTTGAAGTCTATAAATCCTTAGAATCATATACACACATGTTTTCCTAAACCCAACTGCCAAAGAGACTGAAAATTTACAGTATTTTATTTTTGCAGTTCATCTGGCGATCAGCACAGGGCTTCATATGGAGCATGAGACACTGAGACATTCAGAAGCATTCAACAGCTGCGTACTACATGCACTGCTGCATGTCTAAAACACCTGATTTTCTGCCAGTTCAAATTATAGCACTTGGTTGAACATACATGTATTATTTTCATTGCTAGAGTGACAGTAACAATTTAATTTTAAAACATGCACCCAAATAACTGTATGCAATGACATGTATGAGCTAAAACATAACAAACAAAAAAAAAAGCATACAATTTGGTACATTCTTTTGAAGTATTAAGACTGAAAAAAATGCTTAAGTACACAGAGCATCAAGGCCTAGTTGCAGCTATGACAAGCCTTCAATTTACCTTAAGGCATTTCAAACAGCTGGCTAAAAACTTCTTTACTTCTGCATCATTTCCTGGTAGGAATTTGAGAGACAGGTGGGTAAGATGTTTAAAAGGGTTAGTCTCCACTACATTTAAGGACACAGGTGTGTGATCTAGAACAGATGCTGAAGAAACTAACTGCAGCAAAAACCTAGGGAAAAATCAAAAATAATAAAATGTTTAGCCTATTTCTTTTCCTGAAACTACCTGTAGATCCTATAAGCTATTTTCACATAAAATATATTTTTACATCTGCAATAAAAGGCTATCCAGTTTTTGTTTGAAAAAGGACTATGAAATTCAATCCCTATGTTGTAGGTAATACTACAAACAAATATCAACTGAAATGCTTGCACCTTACAATAAGAAATGTACAAAACTAATCAGTTTGTTCATCTGTAAAATTTTCAGAAGCCCATATGAGACTTAGAAGCCCAACACCAAGTAAGGCCTTTGCACCCAAATTCAAAAGGAAAACAGATTCCTGTATTCTAGATATCCTACAACCCAATAAAATTCATAGCTCCAAGTACATACTTGAGGAAAAGGCCTGACTACTGGAGGGGAGCTAGATACTCTGGACAGGGCTTTCCTCGATACCCACACAAACAAAAATAACCTATGAAAAAGCCACTACAGGGAAGAGCGGACCTCGGGTCTCCCCCCCCACACCTTAATATCAGAACACTGAAATGAAAGAAAAATAAATCTTTGTCAAAATGCCTTTTAACTTTGCCTTCTCCTGTGAAACAGAATGATTTACATCAAATTCAGATTAGCTCTCTAGCATTAAACTGTTAGGGGAAAAAAAAAAAAAAGGAGCAGTGCTGCATCCTTACACATCTGCCAGCCAGGAAAGCTTGCCAGCTTCAACTCAGATGGGGAAACTATTACTAGACATCAATTCCACTGCTCAATCCTCCCAAGACTTAGGTGTTGTCAGTAACAGCCCCCGCTGATATTCAGATGCATCCAGGGAAAGGTTAAATCATCCCTGTTCAACTGACTTCTCAGAGTGGCTGACAAGATTTTTAAGGATTCAACATATACACACAGAGTAATACGGCACTTACTTGTTACCTACCTTGGAATATCTTTGTTCTGTTCCTGAATGCATTGCTGAAGCAGATCTATAAATTTTTGTGGAAAAGCAGAGAAGTCTACCAAGAGACCTTGTTGGGATTTTAAACTACATAAACAGATTGGGGAAAAAAAATTAACAATACATACAAGCATAATTTATTTCCTATATTTTGTTTACACTAGTAGAAAGAACTAATTCTGATCATGTCATTAAAGTTGGCTAGCATGTTATTTTCAATCCTGAACATAGAAGAAATGCGATCATGTCTTAGATAATAAAGGCCAGAGAATACTTTTGATTTCAAGTTCTTGCAAATGGGCTGCACTAATAAAAAAAAAAAGTTACTGTGGCACAACATATGTGCTCCTTTGAGTAGATGTCTTCCTTACAGCACAGAGTGGTACAGTTACTGGATAGGGGCACATGGAAGAAGCAAAGGACAATGAAGGGAGGTGCAACCATTATCAATCTGCCCATTTCTTTATTTAATTCCCACCTTCACCATAGATGCAGTAAACTCAGAAACAGATATTCAACATTGTATGCACAAAGCCATACCTTGGATAACAAAACACCACTTCTGCACATCTGTTTTACAAACACTATTGCCTTTTGAGCCACACACTGATCACATCTCTCTCAAAAAAGCAAAGAAAGAACAAAAAAACAAAACCACCACACTGAACAAAAAAGCAGAAAACTGAACTGTTCATGCCTGGTGCTCAAATTTCACGATCAAATGCTGAGCAAGTAAAGTAAAATGAGACCCAACAGTACATTTAGTATGAAAAAAACCCGTAAGACCTTTAAAGGCTTGGGTCTGTGAATCCATGTCCATGCAAACACTTGGCTCTTGCAATTATTTCTTGAAGTAGTTCACACACATACAATAGTTTATAGCAAGTAGTTACAATAAACAGATGATGCAAGTAGTAATATAAACTGTGGTACTGTAACTATGCAGGGAACTAAACAGCAGGATTCTGTCATTCATCTGTATCATCTTGAGTCAATCACTGACCTGGTACTTGGCTCTTTTACCATCTGGTCAAAGAGAACAATACCACCAAAATACTGACAAAAGGCCACAAGTATAAAACGCCAAACCCTAAATTCTAAGATAGGCCATTCTAAGCTAAAAATATTCCTTCATTCTTTCTTGTCATTTTGAAATGTTTCACAGACAAAACATAATTTCATTTACCTTTGAAAATCTTCCTCAGATATGACAAGGTTATAAAGGAAAAAAGGATCAGTATCATCAGTCAATCGAACAGCTAAATCCTGAAAAGACAGACATTTAAATATGATTTAAAATACTATAAACCACCCTGTAGAATTGTTTACATATTGTAAACCAATACTGTAAGCAGTATTTAATGTTTTTACTATTCAACCAAAAATAAGACAGAATTGGGGAAACTAATTCCGGGAGTTAAAAACATTAATGTTTCACACAAGTTCAAATATTACAGCATAAAAAAAACAGGAAAACTTTCTCACAAAAATAAACCAAGAAAAAACTTTCAACTTTGATCAGTGAAGGTTTCAAAATTCAGTGCATCTTCATCATTTTACAGAAAGAGAACTATCTGCTATTTTTCCTCCATGATGAAATAGTGTAGAACTAGCTGTAACTAATCACAAACACGTAATTCCCATAACTGGAAGTTTTTCAGAGCATATTGCTCCTGAAAGTTTAAGAAACCACTTTCTGAAGAGTTTATATATTTGAATGCAAAGCTTCTCAAAGCAAACATAAAATGGATACAGCCGAAGTCCAGTAAGCTCATAATGCTGCTTAGCTCTCAAAAGTAAACTTCTTTGTTCCCTGGAGTTTTTGAAAAACTGCCTTCTCTGCAAAAGTTAGTCTTTCATTACAAGGCTGGGGTTATGCAAAACACCTGGCATATTAGGCCCCAGCACCTGTTCTCTGTAACAAGGCTCAAATCTGTGTTAAGAATATAATATTCCCTAGCAGAGGAAAGAAACGCAGGAGAAACCTGACAGCTCTTCCAACATAGCTGAAGCGTGACCACAGCACACGTACATATACAGAACTGAAACAAATTTCAGTAATTCAGATACCAGGAACACTAACAAAACTCTCAGTCAGAGATGTATCAACATCTCCTGGGATTTACATGGGCAGCCTAGTTATGTTACAACTAATGCCACCCCAAACCAACTAGGGCAGGTTGTTGAATAGGGTAAGAATGCCTGCTTGGTTTGATGTCCCATTAGCTGATCCAAGCATATGAAGTTATCTTTTTAGACTGATCACTCACTGAAGTACCCAACTGGATTTCCAGGCTCTTACTGACACAGGCTGCAACTTGGTACTCAGTTCTTACCTGAACTGCTTCTTCACACTTAATACTATCATCCTTACAGTTAGAAGGATCTTACAAAAAACCCACTGTACTACTTTACAAACAAATCTTTACTCAATAACACTATAGTCAACTAATGACCAATTTTAACATCACAGTAGGTGGGTGTACAGTTTAAGTGACAAATTAGGCATACAACTTCCTTCCTCCCCCCACTGGATAAATTCCAAATATTCAAAAACTAAACACACTTATCAATAAAAAGCAAAATGTTACATCCACATACAAGGTGTCATTTTTGCTAGTTGAGAACTTGGCTCCTCTACATTTTTCAATAAGTGTTGAGTATATTTAAAGCAAGACTGCTCTTAAACTCTAACTTGAGTTCACCCAAAGGACTCCAAATAGTTTCAATTTGCAAGTAGTTACTAAGACACAGGAACAGCCAAACTAAAAAAGAAGGCTAAAAAAGGGTAGGAAAAACCACCGTAACAAACCAACTAAATTACTCAAGAAATTATATCAAAAATAAAATACGGTAAAGTGACAAACATATTAAAATCCTGTTTTGCTTTTCCTTTGCCTACTTGTCCTCTTATACAATGAAATTCAGATAATACCTAGTGAGTGACACAAATATAACTAATCCACAAACCTTTTTATGAACAGGATTAGAAATTGACAGTAGCTCAATATTCACTCGAACATTCAATCTCCTGTATACAAAAAGATGAGAGTAACAAATCAAGAAAACACTCTCTAATGTGTTCATTGCCACATTACAGGCATCAGAAGACATTTCAAAAACAAAAATTCAGGCAGATATATCGAGAAAGTTCCCACTGATGACTACTAAGATATATGAAAGCCCCACAGTTTCAGTTATCATTACAGCTGCTCAGCCAGCTTGGGTATTTTGTTGCTTGTTATCCACCAAGTTTCAAATAGCAAGGCGGAAGTTTTGAAACTTTGCCCAGAAACTAGAACCTTTGTAAAAGCCTGCTGAAATTTATTAACGATCGGTGAAACTGTTGATAATAATTTATACAGTGCTACGTTGTCTTCATTTACTTCTTCTTGGGTAATCCGAGAAGTTACCTGCATTACGAAATACACGCACAGCCGTTAACTCTTCCGTGACTTCTAATACCGGCAAACCAGGGTTGCCCTAACACCTGTACACACTGTCTAATCCCGTCTGGGCCTGTATTACTGAAGTTCTCTGCATTCTGAAGACACTTCACATAAACTATTCCTGGACTCTCCCAAACACCACTGCTAAGCCACGCGCACACGCACACAGGTGTGCCCAAATCCACATATCCCTCGGCAGAAACCCATCAGGAGGGATGTGTGGGCTGGCCGTTGGAACAGTAACGAGGGAGCCGAAATGCTGGAGGAGGGCGCGGTATGGCTGGCTTCAGGCTGCGAAGAGGGGGAGGAAGAGGAGGAGGGCCTGCCCGCGGGGAAACCGCTGCGGCCTGGGCGACGCGCAAACAGCGGCAGGGCCGGCAGGGCCCGCAGCGCTGCGAGCGCCCGCGCCGGGCCGCGGCAGAAATCCCGGCCTTCACGGCGCCTACAGGGGAGACGCCTTTGCCCTCGTACCCCTAAAGCGTCTCTGTAAAGCCACTGCATGTTCTCCGCCCCCTCTCCCCTAGCAAGGGACGCACAGCCACCCTCACCAACTACCTCCAGCCTTGCTGAGACCAAGTACCCTTCCCTCTAACCCACAGGGTGACCACAGGCAGCCCTAAAGCAAGAACAACGCAGGCAGCTACTCAGCTCACCATGCGCACGTCCTCTCTTACCCAGCAGCTATTAGGGCACGAGACACAAATAAAAAATAAGAAAAAGCCTGTCGCTCAGCAGACTTCCTCCTAAAAGATTCAGTAAAGCTTCCGCGCAGCTGAAGAGGAAACCAAGCCAGTTTCTCACCTCTCCTCGCAGTCCCGGCATCTCACTTGCACGCACACGGGCCGGTTGAACATCCTCTCCGCCGCCATCTTGCGCTTCGAGTTTGGCGCCGGGCTCCCGCGGAGGAGGAGCCTCAAGATGGAGCCGAAGCGGCGCGCGCGGAGGGTGCTGGGATAGAAATGGCGGCGCCCGAGTCGGGCAGAGGCTGTCCGGTGCCGGGACGGTGTGCCTACTTCGTGGAGAGGAAGAAGCGCTTCTGCAAGATGGTCCCGGCTCCTGGGAGGCGCTTTTGTGGAGAGCATGGGCAGCAGGAGGTACCGGGCCTCGCTGGGCGGAGCAGCAGGCCCCCCTTCTCCGGCGCCGGGGGGCCTGGGGCGGCATGTCCGCCTGAGCTGGGCCCGCAGCACGGCCAGGAGAGGCACGGCCTGCGCTTTCCTTTGAGCCCTGGCAGTGCTAAGGCCGTTAGTGCACCGCAGCGGTAACACTACCATTGCAGCATAGGTTTATTCTTCTAGGATCCGTTTAAGTATTAAAATCTTGCCTTAGTTTCTCCATTCTGGTTAACTCACCTACCTGAGAATAGATGTTTTATGAAACTTAGGTGTCCCTCAACAGTTTTTCTGAAACAGTAACACAGAATACGTACTAAAGTGTTGTCTAATTTTTTTCTTTTACAACTAGGAAGAAAATAACAGAAAAAGAATTCCATGCCCTCTTGATCCAAAACAGTAAGTATATGTAAATGCTTTTCCTATTCTTTGTTAGAATTCACGTGATAAACAATGTTACTCACTTTTCTTTCCATTTGGATTTTAGCACCGTATATGAAGACCAACTACAAAAGCATTTAAAAAAATGTAATTCGAGAGAGAAGCCAAAGCCAGTAAGTGCAGTGTGAATTCAGCACTACCTCCTCTCAGATTTAAGACTCTAAATGTTACAGTTCTGCAGAGAACTTATTTGCTGACAGCAGCTGTGAACTGGAAGACGAGAGTCTTGGCAAGCACTACAGTAAGGACAGTATGGAAGCTGAATGAGTACTTGCTGAAATAGAATTCACATTCTAGTCTCATCTTCTATGTCCTCTCTCACTGTATTTCAGTACAACTTTTCAGTTCTCTTAGTTACAAATGAAAATGCTGAATTCTTTTTTTGCAAAAATGTTCTCAAAGAACACTCAATGCCATTCGTTTCAGAGGCTTGGTGAGAGATTGTCCTTGGAAAGCAAAACTACCAAGGAAGTTCTAGGTGTTTTCCTGCTTCTGGCAGTCAGCTTCCCTAGCCAACTGCCTGCTTCACTCAACTGAGCAGTGAATTATGGAAAGCTAGGCTGACAGTTGCGATGCCGAGGGAAGGAATAGGATGTGTGTCTTAACAGCTGTTTCAAGAAAACAGAAGATGGCTTCTTATTGTCTGCCTTTCTGCCTTATCAGTATTGCACATTTAGTATGACCTGGGAAACTTTAAAATGGTCTCTGGAATCAGTCTAGTAAGCATTGACAGCTTAACTCTTATGAACATGTTCAGTCCTGTTAAAATGTCTCAGAACAGTCATTTCTGCTGAGGATTCAGGATCAGACTATAGGAAGAAAAATACTTTGAATATCTTCTTTTGTAGTCGATTCCTGTTCCTACGTACCTTATGATAAAACACTGAAGAATTTAGCTTTTAGCTTTCAGGTAATTAACAGAATCAAATTTATGTTCTTTTGACTTTTAAAGGTCTACTTTGTTCAAGATATTAATGCAGGTTCAAAAGATGTAGCAGAAATACTGGAAAAAACAGTGAGTACATCTATCTGCTCTAAAGTTCAGTCCCTACATAACACGTTGCAATTTATCATACGACTAAAAAAACTACCAAAAATAAAAAGGTCTTGTATTTATGGGTGGTGCTTTGTTTTTCCTTAAATAGGTACCTGTCTCTTGTCTATCCAAAGAAGAGTTGGAGAACTTAATTATTAAGTTGAAAAAAGCAAGTAATGGTGAGCTTATTTAATACTGAAAATCAAATGTTTTAAACTGAATTGATTAAATATTCGTTATTTTTGTTGTTAGATATCTGTGAAAATGTGAGATATTTGGCACTAAACATACCTGAAGTAATTATCATCAAGATGTAGGCAATCCTTCAATAGCTAAATTTTACTTTGAAGAATAAAATAGATTGAGTGATGACACTGATCTTTTGTTAATATATCTAATTTCCATTCCTTTTGCATTTTTTGTTTCCCACTCAAGTATCACTACAGCTAACAATACAGCTCTGTTATAAAAATATGATGATAGATTTATGCTCTCCACAGACTATTATGTGAGTGCTACAAATGGAGCTCTTGTCTGAATATTGTAATGTGTGTTACAGAACCAGAAATTCTTGGAAACTGGAAACCTATACCTAAAAGTTTTGCATTTGCATGCAGGACTGGAACTTCCCCTTAAGGAACAAATACTGTCCCACCAGGCTTTAGAAGAAGCCTTAAATGACCCAAAGAATGGGGAATCCGCTTTCAAACACTTGAAACAACAGGTATGGTCACTGCTTTACTCGTAGCTATAGATATTTTTAAACATGGAATTATGCTGCTGTAAGTTCAAGCGACTGTGTGTGCATAATGTTAGTCACTTCATATAGAGGAAATCTGATAACTATGCTCTTCAAATAACAGCATATATGTAACTTTTGAATGGCTGCTTTGTTAAGTATTGGTAACAAAAGTTCATTAGGATACTAAAATAAATTACGAATTGTGTGGTGTTCTGAATTTTTACTTACATATTTTTATGTCAACTCATAGTAAATCTGAGCTACAAAAGGTAAAATGTTGCATTTGCTAAGAAGTAAAAGGAATTTTTTCTGCGAGAGCTGGTTTTAGATTTCCTGGTTGTGTAACAGATGCATAAAAAGAATTGGAAATCCTGAGTTCATCTTCAGCCTTTTTAATGTACATTGAACAGCAGGAATTTTAAAGGAGATAGATTGCATGTGATAACAAAATGGAAAGTTTTGGGAACAAAAATTTAAAAGTGAGAAATATCTGTTTCCTATATTTGTTCCTGTGCTCTACTTTCCTTTTCTATATATTACAAAATGTGTAACTGCAGCAGAGAGAGACGGCTCTGCAAGCACCAGTGCTTCACAGAAAACCCAGAACAGTACACATATTTTAGATGGCTACTTTGTGAATCAGCAGAGAGGAATATTATAATGTGTACTTGATCCCAAAAATCCATTCCAAAAACTTCTTGGTGGAGTTTTGTGAGCAGTGGAAGAAGGGCTGTGTGATGCTGACTAGCCAGAACTTAGAATCCCTTTTCACTGTATGCACAAGATCTTTTTCCCTAATTCCTCAGGTAAGGGAGGACTTGAAAAAGTCTTCTGCAGTTTGGTGAAGTAATCCTTTTTCTGTCAGGCACACAGTGTGTATATTTGCTTGCTTTATAAATAATCTTTTGATGTTTGTAGGCTTCTATTTTAGGTAACATGGAAAATTTACATTTACTTGGTCCAGGAAGATGTTTTGTTGAGTTTGGAGCTGGGCGAGGAAAGCTGTCTCACTGGGTTGATGTTGCCTTACAGAATGTTGAAAATGTTCAGTTTTTGCTTGTGGAAAGGGCCACTACAAGATTCAAGGTAAGAGAGGATACTGTCACATTAGCAAGAGTATAATTTTTAAACTGTTGTCACTGGAGCTGTTAGTATTTGCTTTTTATCTTCAAAAAGAACATAAAGCCTTTAAATTGTAGAAGTTTTTGAAATGTGATTGCCTACTTTCCATATTTTGCTAGTAGCAAATTTATTTGGAAAAAATCTTGGTGTATAGTGTTGGAAATGTGCAGATTTGAAGGACAAAACTCTGGCATAAATACCTGATGCAAAATTATAATTAGTGACTGACCCTACTTAATGATCTTGTTCTGTTTACACAGGTGGATGGAAAACATAAAAGGAAGGAGTCTATATTTGAAAGGCTTCAAGTTGATATTCAACATTTATGTTTAAGTAAGTTCCTTCTTCACTTGCATAATTCTGAAATAGAGGCTTAATTTTAGATATTGAAAACTGGAGTTCAAGTCATGAACTTGTATGTAGAGTGCTTAAATGTACTTGGTTTTGAAGATTATTCTCAGTGGTTACTTGGACATGTTAATGCTGTGTGTATATACATATATACACATACATGTTTATCAAAGGGAGATTTAAAATTTTCTGGTTTTTACACACTTATAGGACATCAAATAACAAAACATTGTGAGGGTTTTTTTAGAACTTGCAGGATTAAACACCTTTCAATGGTTTGTTTTAGGTGTGCAGAATGAAGCAAGTCATGCATATCATTGCTATGCATATCAATACTAGAGAATCTGTGGTAACACCGGTCATCAGGAGATGCATTTATGTTATGTTTACATTTCATAGGCAGTATAGAAAGGCTGAAATGGTTAAATATGCTTCTCAGCCACAGCATCCAATTCTCTTATTTTGTTTTAGAAAAATAAATTTTTCTTTTAATAGCTTATAACTGTATGTACAGACCACTATATTTTTAGTAGTAGTTAACATTTATTTCTTTAAGTGTGCTGAAATTATATTATCCAGAAAAAATATTGCCCCAACTATAACTGTAGAGATTCTGGGATGGCTGTGGATTGTGTCTGTGTTTATCTTCCTTTTTTTCCCCCCTTCCAGACAAGGTACCTGTTTTGAAGAAAAATAAACTACCAGTGGTAGGAATGGGGAAGCATTTGTGTGGTGCTGCGACAGGTATGAATTATGTGTGTGTTAACTGAGAATGTTAGGCTATTAAATCTTACAGTCTGACTGGGCTGATCTTCCAAACTGTCCCTTTAAGCTTTACTTGCCCTTTAACCCTTTGTTCGTGAATGTAGTGATTATAGTCTACATACCTATTGACTTCAGTGGAATAGTAAATGGATAATAGTTGCAAGGCTACTTTAGACAGAAGTAAAACCTTTCTTGTTTTTTACATAGTAGAACAAATAATAGTGGGTGGTATGGGTCATGTATTTGTATATTGTTGAAATTATCTTTTTTTTTTCTTTTTTATCACTGTAGCCTGTACTCTGAAATATTTTTCTTTCTAGATTTGTATTGGCTGTCTGAATATGTATCCCAAGCAAACAAATAAGAAGAATGTGTTTTTGTCCTGATAATTTTAAACTAATACACTTTTTCTAATGTTATATGTCTACTAAGTAGAGAAATACATCTCAGATATGACACCTATTTAGGTAATGTTACAAAGATGACACAGTTAAGCATTTAAAAAGTACCTGTACATACTAAATTGTTTGTGTCCTAAATATCAAACTTTTAGAGCAAATACTTGCATGTTTTACAGGGAGGAGATCCTCCTACACTATGCCAGCTTGTTAACCAAAGTGTTTTAGACGCACTTGTGTAGAACAAATATTCAAGAGGATAAGCCCTTAGTAACTCCAGAGGTCTAATAATACTCACTTAGCATTTAGGGTTTTCATGTTTTCAAAGCACACTTGTAATTTTTAGTTATCCTTGAAACTGCTTTCTGGCTTAGTTTGTGATGTATACTTTTATTCTTCTTTGTGGGAAGTACGTTCCCAACCATGATACAGCCTGTGTAAATAATGGCAGGGTGTTCATGTATCTGTTTTTTCCCAGATCTTGCTTTGAGATGCTTGGTTGAAAGTTACACAGCTTGCTGTGATGGAGAAAATGAAGGGCCTGCACCAAAACGCCTTAAGACTGATAAGACAGAGGAGGCTTCTAACAGTTTTGCTGATAATGAAGGCAATGAAGAAGACTGTAAGCCTGTAGCTGGAATTGTTATTGCACTGTGTTGCCATCACAAGTGTGACTGGACACATTATGTAGGCAGAGAGTTCTTTAAATCAGTAGGACTTGGACCAGTAGAATTTCATTATTTTCAGAGAATGAGTAGCTGGGCCACTTGTGGCATGCGAGAAACCACAACTAAAGCCCCTACAAGTGAAGAAAGTGAAGATCAAACTAACGACACAGAAGAACATGAGCAAACATGCAGCAAGATAGAGAGTGGTTCTGATACTTTACAAGGGTATGTAATTTTTTTCCTAGCAAATGGACTCCTGCAGAAAAGCAAAATTATGTATAGTGGTATATGAAATAGTTTTGGGTCCTCAAAATGACTAATTTTACAGAAACATTTTAATTACTAAATTTAGAGGAACATTCTACTTTAAAAATACAATTTTCAGGGACATATGTTTCAAAATATTTGAACAGTCATGCTTGCCTGAATTGAAATGAACTTAGTGATTTCAATAGTTTTTGTAAGTTTAACTACTAATGTTAATTAACAAAACTATTCTTCTCACAGATGTTGCTTGTTCTTTTCCTCCTTTTTATGAAACTAGGATACTTACTGTTGAAGAACGAAAGGAGATAGGTTGCCTCTGTAAACTGTTGATTGACCATGGACGGATTGAATATTTACAACAACGAGGATACAAGGCTGAATTACAGTATTATACAGAGTCTGCTGTGTCCTTGGAGAATGTCTTGTTGACAGCTGTCCCAAGTCCATCTCTGATACCAGAGCCAACTACTTGACAGGAGATAGATTTGGAATTGGTAGGGAAAAAACCTATTAAATTTACCTGGATTTTTTAAAAAGTTAATTAATTGCTTACAGAAGACCTGTTTTAGTCTTTCCTGTTGCCAGTTTCACTGGGAATCACAAACATGCAAACCATTTCTCATCAGTGGAAAAATAAAATCCCTAAGCATACTTGAAACCTGTTGTATGCCTCTTTGCTAGGAAGAAGTATACTTGATATTTTCTTTTAATCACAGTTATATTCTTTATTCATTAGTATTTATGGTAGGAGAAGTACCAGAAGTACAACTTTCCAGATTTCCTGAAAAAGAATGGGTTAAAATAAGAGAAGTTAACATACTTTATTTTTACTTTAAAGTTTAGGATAGCTTTGTCTTTCCTCTTAAATTTTTTATGTAGGTCTAGGTACTTTTCATCAGCCCATGCTGCTAGAGGACTCTGTTAAGGAAGAAAACTTATTTGTAAACTGTCATCTTAAATATATTTTTGCTAATTTGATTATTCATTCATCAAACATTGATAAGAAAAAAGCTGATACATAGAATGAAGATCAGAGAGAACTTTTTACATCTGCAATGAAGTTCTCTCTGCAAGTGACAGTTGCCACCTGCACATCTGTTCAAAAGCGCCTATTTGGTCTCTAACTGCAACCTTTAAGCTGTTACCTTTGAGTCTGCTAACAGCATTTTTTTGTCAGAGCAATTTAGAAATGGGATGAAATTGTGGGGGTGTTTTGTTTAGGTCACTGGATTTTCTGTCAGCGAAAGCAAGTTGTGAGAAACATCTGCTTATCAAGTGTTGTTACTTCATTGCTAAAAATGTTGTATATTGGAAAGTTGAGCTTCACGAGACAAACAGTGTTGTAAGACCTACACTATGTAAACTCTGATTAAACTGCAAATACAAGAGACAGTCATCAACTTCCACTTATCCAGGCTGTAGGTAACTCAGGCACATTTATTCCAGTGTTCCATGGTTCCAATATATTCCTACTGGAATATATGCTGTTCATGTGAAGACCTACTATGCCAGATCCTGAAAAAAGCACCCCTGCCCTCAGTAAAAAGTGGTTTGCAGGTTTTTGGAAAATGTTACTCATTTATTAAGACAACAATTCAGGTTTCATTTGTACGCATATCCTAGCTTTCTTTTATCCAGTTTATCCTTCCCTTCCTCACTGTATTCCAGAGATGAGAATTCGTAAAAAAGCCATACCTCTTTTCTTGAGTGACTCCTGGATATACATGTGCATGAATTCAATGCCGAACATTTCCTGTTGCACCTCCTCTTCTGTATCCTCACATGGAGGGAGTGTTACCTCTAACTCCAGTGGATTGTCTCTGAAGTTGACAAATCTGACAGTTCACCAGAAAAAGGTTATTCTTGCAATAGGTTTTGTCCAGAGAGAACAACTCTTTTGAAACTGAACTAAAATTCCTCAAACAGTATTTTGAGCAAAATAAAGTAAGTCTTTTCTTACACTAAACTCACCACTATGTTAGAAGTATTAAGTAAGCTAATCTGCCTTATAATAACAGTAGCTGATAGTGGTGGGAGAAAACATTGCAGTCCTCATCGTTTTGTCTTTGTGTTTTCACCCCACTGTCAGCCTTACTGAGCTTCCACAAACAGATGAGTGGATGAGAACAAGTGCGAATGCCTACACCCTCCCAACTTTGCAAGGCAAGAGCCAGCCCTGTCTCGCTCTGTTCTTCATCCACCCCTGGGCCTGTGCTTGTATGTATTTGTTTAAAGAGGTGCTGCTGCTTCTAAAACATCTGACAACAGGAATTGTCTTACTGGGTTAGATGTGATTTATTTAGTTTAACATCCAGTAATTCAAATGAAAATACGAACAGGAAAGTTTCTGTCACAGTATACGGAAAAATATTTCTAATTCTACCAATTGAAAATTTACATCCATTCTTTTTTATTTACCAAATCAATTACAGGAAATCTTCATGCATATCCTTATACCTAATCCTTTTTGTTTAATTCTGAATGCTTGACTTCTCAGTGCCAAGGTTCTACTTTTTGTCATTTTTATCTTTGTTACATATTTTTCCCCTAGCTCTTGGCTTTCAAGAGTGATATAAAAAGCCAGTTGGAAGTGGGCATTTGGACATTTCAGAAATGAGAAAATGTATTACGATCATCTTTTTCATTTGGGACTGAAACTATCACAGCTTACTTCTTTATATGAGTTGTGCTACACAAAGCTTTCTTGACCAGATTCTCAACTGTTGTGAATCTGTGTAGTTATGCTGTTTTACACGGTATTGTGTCCCTCTGTATAACTGTGAGCATGCCTCTTCCACTTCCTTAATATCACTCTATGATACAAAACTCAAGGGATGCTTTAAAACTTTTCTAGTATTTTTATTTATATTACTGTTGCTTTTTCTTACCTCAGATTTGTCATGTCCTTCAGACAAGCTGGAATATCCTTAAGTTTGTTGTTGCTAAGAACAAGAGTACTAAGATTTTTCATATTACCAATGGTTTCTGGCAAAGAGTTTATCTCATTCCTTTGGAGCCATAAAGTGTGGAGATTTTTCATTCTGTAAAATAGGTATTTGTGCAATCAATCAAGATTTAGAAAATCAATCTTATCAATCATTAATATAAAGCATTGATTATTTTTTTACAGCCCCATAGAGGACTCTCATAAAGAATATAACAGTTCTCAAAGGAAACCCCATATCCAGGATAATTGCCTAACCTCTGCTCAAAAGTGTCATTGGCAAGAAATACTTAACTTGATAGTTGATGCTGAATTTTTTGAATGGAGATTCCAGCTCATCCAAAATACCACATAACAGCTGATAAGTTTGAAGTGAGGTTAATATTAAAACAATATTCTGAAGTAGGATTTAATAATTAGAATTTCAGTGCAACAGAATTAAGGCCAAGGTGTGACCTTTAAGCTCTGTTTACCTGTCAATTGAATCAGGAAGCTCCTGGAGTTTATTTCCCCCCGTATCTAACCATTCTAGATTTGGCATGTTGAGAAGAGCTGAAGGGATGGTAGTAAACTGATTCATGCATAAATCTATGTGCGAAAGCTTCTTTAAATCACTGAGCTGAAAAGAAAGGGAAAAATTAATGCAAGTTTGTATAGCTGTTCCATTACAACAGTGCTGTAACATTGTTGACTGAAAAAACAAAACAAAACAATTTTAAAACATTACAACACATTCAGTACTTCGTAAATACAGAATGTTTTCTGACTTACATTAACTGATACTACCTAACAATTACAGTTCTTACCTGGAAGGCAGATAGGTTCAAAACTGATCAGGCAGAAGAACTTTATCTCCCACCTCACAATGAGTGCTGTAATTACTGAGAACTGAATGCCAGGACTACAATGCGGATATACCCTAAGCCTTGAAAAGAAAAGGAATTTTAAAGACACCACTGTCCTTAATATTTCATATTCCATGCAATATGCCAGTTTTCATTAGTCAAATATTTAGATTTTTATGGATCAGATTGCATGGACTATTCTGGAGTGAACTGAGACATCTTCCATGTTGTGAAGTCTACTACTATGGCAAGGCGTTCTAAAAATTAAACATAGCATCATTCAGTATTGCAGCACTTGAGTCCTTTGGTGAATCATGCTTTCAGGTGCTTTTACAATGTTCAAGTGATGCAAAGATGTTTTATTGCAAATCTGGTCCAGCTGTCTAAACACTGAATGCCACTCACATACATATAACCAAAGCTTCACGGTGTTCACATCACTGTGGTCTCTATAGGACAGAACTAGAGCTTTGCTATGAGCTGTTAATTTAAAAGCTATCACTGTACATTGCGCCATATAACCTGTATCCACGTACATTTTGTAAATTCTAGATTCTGATTGTGTATATTTTCATTTTAAGATTTGTTGTTAGACTCTAGACTCTCAATTTTGCCAGACACTGATTCTGATTGTTGTCAACTATTGCTGCCACTGTTTTTTAAAATAAGTTAAACCAAGTAAATACGGTTACATGCTTGTCATCTCTATCTAAGAGGCTAATACGTAGGGATGCAGGTCTCTGACACATTTAGGTCAGTCCAAATTAAAGCTTGCTAGTAGGCGAGCAATTATTTTGCTTCTCTCTTAATTGCTTTCAACATCTCAGAACATTTGTTAAAGTCTCTGTGCACAGGCAGTTGTGTAAATCACACAAACCCTTTTCATAGCTAGCAGCTCTGGTAAAGATGTTTACAGCTGTGTCCTGGCATATAGTTTGAATTTGTATTCTCAGCCATAAAAGTGAACTTTGCTGTGCTAAGGCATCAGATTCTCAGTGTGGTAAATCAGTGAAGATCTTCAGCTTAAACAAATTAACAGCAAGTGTATCACTGCCCCATAATTTATCTGGACAAAATAAAGATTGGCTCCTTCAACTACACGAGCATATGTATGTCCTTCTCATGTGGCTTCAGTTGGACTAGTCATAGTATTGTTCATGTGTGTGTTTCTGTGGAGTAGCTGTGAAATTAGAATATCAAAGCAAATCTGAAAACATGGAGTGCAACATTTAATGATAATTGGTTTGGGATAAATTAAAAATATGCATTGAACAAAACTAAGCAAAACAAAACAGTCTGTCACAACCTGAGGAGGAAGATCACAGATACTCCTGTTGACAGCCAGTTCCAATCTTTCCAGACTGATGCAGTTACTTATTTCCTTAGGAACAGACTTTATTCTATTATAACTGAGAAGCAGCTCTTGGAGGTTAGTCAGCTGTCCTGCAGAGAACACAAATGAGAAATGATAAATGTTCACATTTGTTCTGTAAGAAATACAGTATTATTTGTTCAGTGTTATACTGTTATAAAAGTGCTCTGTGTTCTCACTAAAAAAAAAGATTCACTGAAATTCAAATAGTAGGACTTCAGGACTCTTTAGTCCAGAATTGCACTTGAGTGCTACAAAAAGCCCCTTATGAACAGAGACTACTCACACTATGGACTCAGATCATGAGGCCTGTTTTTCAATATCACTTTTCTAGTTGCATTCTAATGTCACCAGCTTTTTTCTCATGTGTCACTTTCATAAAGGTGTATCTCCTCCATCCAGCCATTTTTTTTAATTTATAGGGAATCCATGGTCTTAAGATCTTTATGTCAATGTCAGATTGAAATTGTCTGTTTTCTAACTACCCAATAGGATTGTTAGGTGGGCAAAGTGCACCAAAATGGCATGTTTGTGTGCGATTGATTTTCTTAGAAATGCAGCTTAAAATAAAAGAAAGCACAGCTCACCAATTTCTTTAGGTACACTTTCAATTGAGTTCCGGGATAGATCCAGAACAAGAAGATTGTGAAATCTTCCAATGAACTGAGGTATTTTCTGCAAACTAGTTCTATGAAGCTGCCATTCCTGGAGATGGACTAGTTTCAATAAGCACGAAGGTAGTGTCTAAGACAAGAAATATGAACCAGAAGAAATTCAGCTTAGTATACAGCAAGAATATAGGCTCAGGTAGAAGTTTTATTTGAAACAGTAGCAGTCTTGTAATTAAAAAAAAAAAAAACAAAAGGTGATAAAAAAGGAAATCTTTCCTTATTCTCAAGCTATAATGTAACATTCCGATATGAACACCATGAATGTGCGTCATTCAGACCACAGATTTAACCTGCCCACTTTTTTCTCCCTGGATTTAGAGATGTGCACTACTGTCATTGCTTGAAAAGCCTCGGGCTTCCTTTTGTTTCTTTTTTTTTTTAAACGAAGCCAATATAACTGAAGATGAAACTGCTCTAAGTAGCTTTTGCATTCAAATGGTGGTCTAAATTGTATTTCCTATTGTTAAGAAAAACGGTGAGTGGCTGAGAGCGGAAGAGCCGAGTGAAGAGGAAGTGAGTGTAAGAAGAGTGAGTGTAAAGTTGTAAATTGTATTTTTTCAGTGCATCAGTCATTCAACCCAAACAACATCCTATCAACACTACCTTCCACTCTTCTTCCTCTATCCTTAAAATTGCTCTTCCATCTTCATAAATAACTTTTTCTTTAAGCTTTGCTAAAGCGGCTCTCTCCTCCCAGACAAGCAGTAGCCTACAAGGGAAAGAATATCTGTCAGTGGTGCAACAATGAATACAGGCAATAATTACTGTTCATTCTATTTTTCTGGAACAAAAAGACAGTAGCCTTTTGGATGTCAAACAACATTCATTACATCTGGATGCTAAATATACTGTCAATATGAGAGAAGATAAGAACATAAAGTAATGCTTGGATGAATCATTTATAGGAATTCTGTTTTACGGTTCTTCAAATTTACATTTGTAAGACATAACTTCATTCACTTTAATCATGTTGCAGGAGGTCAACAGAATCTGAAGTCATGTGGAATTAAGTTCCAAAGCCATTATTTTTGAAGCAGTCTCCTAAAAAGAAAGCCTTTAGTTCCACCAAATCTAAGTGCAATCAAACAAGGTTAATTAGCTAGGGGTTCTTTTAGCTTGATTTCGAAAGGGGGCTTAAGCAAGAATTATGAAAATTAGGCTAATTCTCTTTCTTTCTGCTTGTATTTTCCATTAGTAACTTTCAAATTTGTTATTTCAATTCAAGCACATCTGACAAATTAGGGAGAGTTCCAAAAATAGAATGCTAAGTTTCTTTACATTTCATGAAAATACTGGCCAGACAGCAGACCAATGCCTCTACTGAGAAGAAAGTATAACAAATTAAATCTCCACTAGTTAGAATATCCACGAGAGAGGATTTTAATATCTGAATTTAGGGGATTTAGTATATATATGCTAATATTTTTACCACAAAACACAGTTCTTGGTTTGACCTGACCATATTGCTAGATTCTAACCAGTGGGAATTCTGGTGGAGTAATGACTGAAGAGTTAGACTCTGGACAAGTTTGAAAAGACCAGTTATAGTCTTCTGAAATGTAAGATATGGTCTAGCTTTTCACATACTTAAAGATCTACAATTTACCTACCTTCCTGCAGACCTCTGTCTGAATTCCTTTTCTTTCTGTAATTCTTCATTTATCTTGTGTATTCTCACTTCCCAAAGTGTCTTCACAGCCGTGAATGTTCCAATGCAAACTGCAGTTTCAGTCATGATCCTTACATGTTCAGATTCAGTCACAGGAATCTGACTGTGAATTTCAGGCTCGATGCATCAGTGCATGTATCAGCTACTAGATGGGGACAGTGATGTGAAAACTAAAATACTGCAATACCCACTTGATTATACTATTACATTTAGTTAATGTAGAGAACTGACAGAATTTTACCAACAGCTTTCTCTTTATAAAAGTAGATAATTGCACCTGATTAAATTTTCTTATAATAAGAAATGGTATTCTTGCAGTCTCTCTACATTTCTTAGTGAACAAGTGCTTCTCTCAGTTCCTTCCAATGGTAGGCTGAGTACTGACCATAATTATTAAATGCAGATATGAGCATTCATTCCCTTCTCGGGAATAAATTAAGCTGTTACCTGCAATTTAAGGCAGTTAAATCCTGGTAGCTGCATCCTGGCAGCTATCTGGTATAAATACTTGTAACTAAAGAAGTTTTGCACTTTAGAGAAACCAAACTGTTGCTGGAAATAAATTCGTATACTTTATTTCCATTAATTTTCTTCATAGTCTTACTCATTATATTTTATAGTTAGTAATGCCTAACCTTTAAGAAAAGGCTTTTTAAATTCTTCAGATCTCTCTTTGAATCTTGTTATAGCCCTGCTGAGTGTCAGGATCTGCATTTAAAAAAAAATATTCAGCCTTAAGTTTTGAAGTCATCTATTCCTTAGTGAGATAATGAATACATATTTTCCTGAACAGCAGCAAAGTAGGATACTCAGTCATCCTAATCAGTGTATCCCTTTAAAAAGCGTTATTATTGCCATTATTGCAGTCATTTGGGGAAAGTGTTTTTTTTTTTTTTTTAAATAAAGTAGTCAGGATACTGATATTCACATAAGCTTAGAAAGCTAAACTTCATGCCAAAAGCGGTGTACTCTGATGGTCTGAATGCTCTCCTTCAAACCCATTACCCTACTAATATTTGTAGGAAGAATTAAAAAAAACATATTGCATATCCATTCAAACTAAAAAAATGAGGGTAACTTTCTTCCAAGCAAGCAGGTAGATAACAACAAAAGTGGAATTTAAGGACTTTTCATACATATATTTCCCTACAATAATTGCTGCATAATACTTATTACAATAATTGTCTTTTAGAGCAATCTTTTATGTCATATTTATTCCGTTTGTGTGGCATGGATAAGCCACAATTGCTTAGTGAACATTTTTGTGTTCAGACTGTCAATCATTATGTTTACCACATCTTTTGCTAACATAGTTATTTGTAAAGCCTGATTATACTGAAATCGCTTAATTACAAGTGTATAGGCAAATAACAAGAAATGTAAATTGTCAGCATTGCTTCCTGTTGTAAACACAGCATAAAAATCAAATTATAATGGAAGAATCTGGTCAAATACATTAATATTGAGCATTCTCAACTGTTCTCTGTTAAGTAAAAATGGCAGGATTTGACAGGTGACACAAATGGCAACTGCAGTGTGGCACAATGCAGTCAGGCACTTGGGCTCTTTAGGAGGGATTGAATTTTTTCCTATAGAGAGAGGATTGTAACCTCTTTCCCTTCCCCACATAAATGTGATCACATATACTAGTTTGAAGGATTAACTTCTCTTTCAGAGGTCTTCAAAGTAATTACCTATCCCATTCCTCATCCCAACAGTAATAACTAAGACATTGTATGAGGTTTTTTGCTCTGATTAGTGGTTACAATTTAAATCACCTATTTTTCAGGATTAAACTTCTACTGAGATTAACTGATTTACCTGATCTATTATTTCTTGTTGTTTAGAGATATTCTTGAACTGTAAGCCTTTTTAAGCAGAAAACTAGAAATCTTTTTATATAAATAGTGCAGAAAAGAGACGTTTGTTAATACTTGCACTACTAAAATCAATATCAGACTATACAGTTAAATCAATACTTATTTTTAGCAAAGCTTACACTGGGCAATTCTCTTTTGCTGTGGAAAGCATACTATTCAATAAATATTGCTTTGGAACCATGAAATATGAAAGAGGGCCTAAGTATATGACTTTGTTTTCAAGAAGATTTAATTATATAAGTACAGGACCACCATCAAAAGCTTCTTGTTCTTAGATCCTATTATTTATCAGGAAAATAACAGCCACAATAATCATGCCAAGCATGGCCATAAAACAACTGCAAATTTAGTCCCAAGTAATCAGATCTCCCAATAACTTCACCTCCAAGTATTTGAAAGAGTTTAACGACTTACCTCAATTATTTGGTGTTTTCAAGTATTTTCTGTAATTCATTGTCTTCTGAGCAAGAGCAGAGATTAATTATTAATCTTGTCTGTACTACCAAAACCATCTAGAACTCTCACTCAGACTCCAACGCAATGTCAGTATAGTTCTAATTTTAACCTATGCTGAGAATAGAAGGTATCACATGAGGCACTTCTGTAAAACCCCGAAGCATTTACCACTCCTAACGTCTTCCCAGTTTGCTGAACGTGACTGGACTCCCATAAACTCCTGGATTCCCATTAACAAGAGTTACAAATTTTGAACAAAAGAACAAAGGACTATTTGTTATGCTACACAATAAAAAATAAGCTAGTTTTGAATTCAAAATTACAATTACTTGATTTACTCTAGTAATGTTTCTTTGCAAGATAACTGAGCTTCAAAGTGCTATGAAACAGCAGCACTGGCTAAGTAGACTAGAAAAAGTATTACATCACTAAGTAATTTACTTTACATGAACTTTTGTTCATGCTGAAGAATTCTCTTGTTGAAGAATTTTAGTGCAAATTATCAAAGTCCAGACAGAAAAGTAATCTTTATCAGGATGTGCAGAGGGGTTTTTACTCACCCTCTTTTCATGCTTCCACTCATGAAACATTTTTAACAGTCTATTTCTTCAAAGAGCCCTTGGAGAAGATAAAAGGAGAACAACTGTGTCAGAATCTTTTCTTTCAATCAAATGGAAGGAGAGACAGCAAAAATCACAGATCTCTGTTTGGGCAGAAGCCATTTAAAAAGACAGTAACTGCTTTAGCTTTCAATCTTCTAAAACCTAATTACTTCGTTTCAATTAAAAACTTAACTACTTAATTTCTTCCCTCTTAAAAGAGGCAGATAATTATAGCTAGGGGAAAAAAAAAAATCTTTCCTTTTATTGGAGTTTTGAGAGACAAAAAATTTCAAGCTCCTTGTGTGAGCAAAATTATTCTCTCTCAAATACTTCAAAATCACTTTATTGCTTCCTATCACACACATTTCCTCAATTTATTTTCTTCATGGTCATCAAATTAAAAAAATATATGATTCAGGCTAAACCCTTACCACAACAATATACTTGTAGGAAAGTAGCTATTAGGCTGTGTCCCTTTGGTAGTCTTGAGTGCAGTAGGTTCTTTAAGATAAGAATAGAAGTTTAAGTCACCTGTATAGGACTGCCTGCATAAAATTCACAAATAAAACCAGTATTACTACAATTCTTTGTGGCTTTATTTTTTTTTTTTATTAGGAATAAATAAATCTGATAAAAATGAAATGGATGATAAGCACAATATATTAGTCAAACTTTGCAAGAAATGACCTCTATATAAAAGACCCTTAAACCACAGTAGAAATGTAAATAGCACCTTCCATGTATGCTCCCATGCTCCCTCCCCTACATAACCAGCTCTCCTCTTGATCAGTCTCAGCATCAAGGATAGCAGAGATTCTACCTCTGATAGCTGGAGTCTTGCATCTTCACAGCTAAATGCAATAGACAACTTTGGTCTACAATTTTGGAGAACACTCCTGTAGAGGCAGTTTTTGATATATCTAAAGAAAGAAGAAAAGGTCCATTTTGTGCCTCACAAATTAATTTTTAAGGCCACATAACTGTATTTTATTGTGTCTCTTTGCACTTATGTTTCTAGAAGGTATTTATATCCAAGTTTTCTTCATACCTCCTGTTAAGTAACCAGTGCAATCCTCATCATCTGTTTAGTTCACCATGTAACTGTTAGCTATGTAACTGTTATCTGAAGGCATTAACTTGAACTTATTCATTATGTGCCTCGTATCCTAGTTTAAAAAGTCCTTAACTCACATAGTACTTTTTAAATGTTAATACTTTCTGTATCTGATTAAACTGTCAAATGCTAGTATCTGAACATCAATCATATAGTGCAAGGTTTTAGAAGACATTCTGCTTACTGTCAAGCTTACCTAATGACAGAATAACAGATGAGATCCTCCTTTCTTTTTTATCCTCCTTTTTTTTTTTTTTTAAAACACAGATGCTTTCTATAAGAAACAAAAATAGCTGGAAGGTATTTAAGGACCGCAACTACTTCCAGCGTATAAAAATATACATTATTCTAGTGGGTATTGAGGCCCTGATAGTTATCAATAAATGTTATCAGTAAGCATTTGAATAAATATGGCCTCTTCATTTATAATTTGATAAAGAATACCTGTGCAAGTAATTGCCAGGAAAAAGTGAACTAGCAAAAGACCTGAGAGGTTTACTCAGTTAAACAACAAAAAGCTCTCTGGACATCTTACTGCAGAAGCATAAAAGGCATTTTATTTGTATATGATTTTTGTATAACTTCTTTCGGGAATTTGGATATTATTTGTTAAAATAAATTTACGTGTCCAACAAGGAAGAACTGAGTATTTCCCTTCCAAACAGGTTAATCAGATTATAAATACTGAAAACATAGATCAGTGTCATTCAGTCACACCAGACACACATCCATAGGTATTATAAAAGGCAAAATGAAGACATTCGATCACCGTATTCAGAAGTTGTGCCATGACCTATTAAGTTTGACAGTCTGCTGTAGAAGAACTTACAGCACTACTAATTAAAAGAACAAACAACTAATTGATAGACTGATATCAGCTGTTGAGAACTTATAACCACATGAAATTATTATATAATGTGGGTAGCAAAGGGCATGTGCTAGCAGAGCCAGCTTTTATAATTATTCAGTCTAATCCACAAAGTTTAAAGGCATATTCTAGCCATGGTTTGCTTTATTTAAGGTCTAGCAGCATCGAAGCAGGGTTCTCCAAGTAAGATTTCCATAAGTTAGAAAACCGGGCCATTGTAGCTCCATCAATGATGCGGTGATCAGCTGACCAACTCACATTCATTATCTGTGCTTTAAATACTTCACCTTTTCCATTAAACCGAGGAAGAACCTAAAAATCAGAAGAGGAAAAACAATGGAAATATTAAATACTTCCATTAACAAATCTGTATTTTTTGTTGTTAATTTGTTAATCTAAATTTAAACATTTTGCTAAAGTAGACAGATAGCAATAGTACCATTCAAAAAACAAAGACCTCCCCATTATTGTTTGTGCTGTGGATTAGAATATATTGCAAACCTACATAATAAACAGCCACATCCTGTTCCCACCATCATGGGAACACTGAAGTAGTGAAAACCTTTCTTGACTCAAAAGTTTCTTCCTGAATAGTTTATTGCACCATTAGTGCTCCAAGTTTCCTTAAAGCTTCCCCTAAACAAAGGGCTCATGGGAAGATTGTAGAAAAAGTACTTTAAATTAATACTGATTTCATTTCTAGCATTGATCTCAAATGTCTATAGTAAAGAATTAAAGCCTGAAATTCAGAAAATACAAAACTGCCTTCATCATACAAACTTCTCTATGGATTCAGCTATCTGGCTCATGAAATTAAACTTCATTATCAGAATATTTTTTTAGTCTCAAATTTTCTCCTTGATGATAGCAAAAATGCTATTGCCATGTTGCAAAACTTGCAAAAAAGTATTTACATTGTTTCTTAATAACTAGAAGGCTAAGCATAGATGTGAGTGAAACAGAACAGGATTCTAAAAAACAAATCTGAACCTTTGGCATAAGAGACTTCTATTTAAACATCTGGTGTCTCTGCACAGTCATCTAAAAACATCACAAAAGTTTTCAGTCACAAGCTATGCCATTTCTGTAACATAAAGAGGAAATGTTTGTATAAGAAAAACAAAACAAAGGGACACTCCATGTTTCATTTTCATTACAGATGACCTTAGTTAGCTAACCGCTCACATCACTGAGATAAAGTTAATATACCTGTATCTTTCCAAGTGCTCCAATAGCCACTTCAGGAGGTAGTATCACTGGTTTGGTGTAAGTGCCACCAATCTATAAAAGAAAAAGCTAGGGATATTAGTTAACAAATAATCAAATAATATTTTTTTAAGCAAATTACCTCTTGCATTAATTGCTACAGGTTTTGTTCATTGCATATTAAACTTTACTAAGGTATTCATTTCAGAAGAAGTTTTAAAATGTAAGTTCTCATTTTTCCTGTACTTACTGTGCCAATATTCGACAGGGTGAATGTTCCCCCAGTGAGATCATTTGTTCCCAGTTGGCCTGCAGAGCCCAAGGACTGTAGGCGATTTAATTCAGAAGCAATCTCAAATACACTACAGACTTGAACATTTTTCACATTTGGGACAATTAAACCTTGCTCTGTGTCCATAGCAACTCCAATGTTGTGCGAAGCCTGCAACAAGTTTCATTAACCGGACATTAACATAAGCAGTCAACATAAAATGTATTTTACATAAAAAATCCCTGGGATAATGTCTTCTCTACATATCTTTTTAAGCTAGAAAGTGCTGTCTGTAGTAAGCAACTCCTCTACACAACTTTGAGGGCAGATGAGGATAAAAATTTTTGCATATTAGCTTTCCACATCTGCAAAGTGCAAATTAATTTTGGCAATTTCACATCCAGGAAATACAAAATCCTGGAAACAATTTTACACTGAAAATATCTC